CAAATCTCATAAAGCCCAATCAGCAGCAGCCACTAGCTACGACGATACCCAGCCGTATATTTGTTTAGGACTTGCCAAACGTTATTCGCACTCGACTGCGCCCGCGATAACATCGCGTCATTACAACACGTGTATACCGCGGTATACATAACCCACTCGTATTCCGTTAACCGCAGTGGCTCGTCAGGGGTGAATTTGAGACTGCAGCGCATCCTCGTACTATAGTTAAACAGGATGACAGAATAATAATAACAATCTATGAGAACATTTATTTACGAGTTTAAATAGTTTTTACGGAAAATCACTCAGCTATGTATACCTATCATACACCAGGTATATTATACCTGTACATAATAGTTGTGGGTGTCTCGAGTGTCACTCATCATTGAGTTAGCGCCCTAATGGATTCGTTGAACTTAAATGTAATGATAAACCATTGTATACGTTTAAAAACGATTCTGTGTGGAAGCGGTCTATACGATTATAATTTATTTACATTGTAGTTTAGTAGTTTAATTATACACTATACCATAATAGCCAATACGTTGAACTAATTCTTGCCGAAAACGAATCACATAATTTTATGTCATTACATAGCTTGATTTAATATTAATAGCTGTTACTTAGTAGGTAGTTCATTTATACAGAATAACCTATTACATACGTAGCGGAGGACGGTGTGAATAGGTTTATAGTACTTATAAATAGCTTAAAAGTTAAAATTTAACACTGAATATTTTCAAAATTGTATTGTGTGATTATTGACACAATAATAACAAATGATGAAAAGATTCAGGTTTCCTAAAAATTACATTTCTTGAATTACAACAAAATAACTAAAAACGTTTTCTTTCGTTTAATTACCCAATTTCGTAAAAAATTTAACCATAAAATGTATATAAAATAATTGTAACTATGTACCTATCTGGCTATGTGTATCTATAATAAAACTTTATCATGAGGACATTTTTACGTAAGTTGTTAAGACTTAACTATTAAAATTTGAAATGTTATGAATTATTTATTAGATCTTCAGATCTTGTAAAAAAAACTGAACCAATGTATTTTTGATATTTTAAAATTGCTAAGAAACTTTGTATTACATTTTCAAGCTTTTTGAACGAGCAAAACATTTTTGGTTGATATTTATAGAAAAAACAATGAAAATGATTCCATGTCCTAGAATAGGCTTATATATAAGTATATTTAATTTATTTCATAACAACAAATGATTTTGTGTCAATTTGTTTTTTTAATTGAACAGCGATTACTGTTTTATTTCTATTTCATATTTAGCAAGTCTTTCATTATTACCTATTTAATTATTTATTATTGTTTCATTATTTGTTCAAACTAAATTAATTGAGTAACATAATATTGTTTATAGTTTAGATAGCCTCCCCCGATTGTTTACTCACTGGTATACGATAATGATATAGTATAAGTTTCACCTTGCCGATATAGATTGTGTGTACACGACTCAAGTTTCTAATATTACTTAAATAATATATTTTATTTTGTTTTTCCAGCACAAAGCCCTGTACGTTGCTTCCGACGAGAGCGTCCGACAGATATACTTGTCAATGTGCACTCACCGGTACGACAGCTGCTTGCGGTGCGTCCACGACCCGTATTGCGGATGGGACAAACAGTCCAAGACCTGCAAACCCTACCAGCCAGGGTAAGTCAATACGTGGTAATACGATGATGATCAATACGACGATAACTGAACGACCGTTCGTTGTGTTTTTTTACAGGCTCCTGCAGGACGTGACCAACTCGTCGCGAAGCGTGTGCGAAAGCTCGGTGGTCAACAAGAGGCTGACCGTGACGTTCGGCCAGAGCGTGCACCTCAGCTGTTTCGTGAAAATGCCGCAAGTGCTAAAGGTATACCCGGTCACCTGGTACCACCACAGCAAGGAAAAGGGACGGTACATGGTCTCGTTCAGGTAAACTCAATAACAATAATATATTATTATGTGATGCGGGGCGGTCTCCACTACCGTATATTCATAATAATGATGATGATAGTAGTAGTAGTAGTAGGTAGGTACATCGTTTATTATTCAAACGACTGCAGCTGGGGGCGACGACGAAATTCTGCGAAGAAATTAAATCAGAAATTCGAAGCTCTCCGGGTAAAGGAGAATATTTTCCCAAGGAATCGCTGACGACTGCAATACACGGTATATGATATACCGAAATATACGCGGTCCCGGTACTCGAAGAAATTGAATTTACATTTATTATGTACCGGGTGGTGTACCGAGCTCTCGGCAATTGTTTCGCGTTCTGCTCGCGCAGCGAATATACGGGTAGGTGGGTATAACGATCGCGCTCCAATTACGCAGTGCGCTGCACCTATATATACCGCATATCGTTCCTCCATACCGCGGCTGCCACCACCACCGTCGTCGTCGTCGTCGTCGTCGTCGTTGTCGTCCACGTTTATAATTCTTAATTTTCCACCCCGGCTCACGTACACGTCGAATTATTATACTACCCTTGTTACTAACGCGCGATCCGATAACCGAGTTGTCCCTCGCAACGCGACCGTCGTCTTACGTCCCGCCGTCGGTCATGTTGTTATTATTATACCATTAGTGGATTCGACGACCGGAATACCTACGTAGTTTTACCAGTGGCGAACGCGAGTCATCGAATAATAATATAATTTACGATAAATTCGGATCGAGTTGCGCTCGACCCGACGACATTGAGCAAAAGACTCTATTTTTATTATTATTATTTTTTTTTTCTTTTATCGGAATTCAATTGTACCGCAGTTCTCATGTAAGACTTGTTTTTAATTTTTTTACAGCCGAGTGGAAAAATATATTGCGACCGTCGAAGGTGGCATGGTGATCGTCGGAGCATCGGAAGAGGACGGCGGCCGATACGACTGTCAGCTGGCCGGCGCCCTGTTGTGCACGTTCAACTTGACGGTGGACGCGCATCGGTGTTCGCCACCGGCCCGGTCGTCTGACTACCATCGGGTGTACTCGGACTGGTGCCACGAGTTCCAGAAGTATAAGAGCGCGATGAAATCTTGGGAGAAAAAACAAGCTGTGAGTATAATAACGTAAATTATGAAATACATGTGTAGGGATGTACTCGTGGAAGGCGACTATAAAAAACAAAAACAAACTTAAATCGTAAGATCTCGAAGGTAGCTGAGAAATTTATCGATAGACAGACCTTTTACTTTCCGTTACCAAATAAATATAAATAAAGTGTAGATAACGTTTAACGGGACGGGACCGAACGGTGCGAAAGGTATAAGATTTTTGGGGAAGGGAGTCTTATTTTCGACAATCGCTATCCCGACGTATTATTGTAGCACGTCGGCGCCTTTTACCGTGCAAACGAATTCTTTTTTTCTTCCGTGTTTATCGAACGCCGTAATCTAATTATTCTCGACTCGTGTTTAGAGGGAATTGTTTAAATTATTCTGCTCGTCGTTTAATAACGTTTAAAGTTATAGCCGCTGTATAAACGATGTTTTTATTATACGAGACAGTAAATCAAATTTCAAAATGGTGGGAGAGGAAGAAGAGGGTTGATTTCGAGAACGAGCCAAAAAGATACCGCGTGCGCGACGACTGACGCCAAGAAACCGTTGTATCGGAATCCGCGGAAAACTTTTCGCCTCGCCGATTAGCGTTTCGGACATACTTATTTTGGGATAACAACTCGTCGAGTAATTGAAAAAGTTCTCGGGGAATTAAGACGCGTACGATATTTTAATGCAGTTCGGAGATGACGTCATCGTTAATTATTCGGTAAACTACCACGTTGACTTATATAATATAATATATATTATATAAACGTTTAATAGTATCGACTTTTCTCGTATCACGCGAGGACATCTGTCGTGCAGTGTCTCATATTAAAATGATACTTTATTATTATACACTGTGCCCGATTTAATTGCTCGATTAATTGCTCGATTAATCGATATCGCGATATACGAACACGTCATATAATATTTTATAGGCTCGTGTACACGATAATTCAAATACATGCTCGCAAACATATTCGTACACACGAATGAGGATTCATAAATGTGCTTTTTTTTTTATCGATCTCAAAACATAAGAACCCCACGTGTCTGGTCATTAGTTTTAGTTAGACACTATTTATAGGACTAATTCTGCAGTGTGTATATTATATTGATTATGATTTACTCGTGCCCTGCTGAACGTATACAATATACTCGTATTTAGGTAGTCATGTTCAGTCACATTTTACCCATATATTTTATACCTATAATATTCGATAGTACGATGTAACGTTATTATACCGTGTGTTTTTTTTTTATGCATATCACAGCAATGCAGTAGCTCAAGACAAAACGAGACCGCGATTGCCCAGGGTCTCCTGTCAAACGAATTAAACGCAAGCCCGGCCCTATAAGGAGGATACTATACACGAGAATATACGAGGTGCAAGCAACCGTCGCCACTACCACCACAGCCACCACAAACACCATCCCCATCCCATGTTCACGCTATAATATATATATATATATATATATGTATATTGTATTATAATATGCGTTAATGTTATGATAATATACCGTCATCGTCGTGTCAGTCGTTCCACCGCCGCGGAAAAATAAGTAAAAAAATGTAATAACAATATATAATATATATTGAATGAGGTAAAAGCGCCATCATAAATAGTCGTCGTCGTCGTCGTCGTCGTCATAGTCGTTAAGTATAATATAGTATAAGAGGATTTTTTTTTTTAATTTTAATGCAGATTCACGTATATAATATATAATATACACCTGTAGGTATATAGGTGTTTGTACCTAAAATACGTAATACATGGAATGTATGTACTCGTGTATACGTATATATATTGTATATAATGATATGTATAATGTATATTGTGTACTTTGTATATTAATAATTAGAATTTAATGTACAGACTGCCTATATAAGCTTTAAACTATAACCGCGACGAGCGACGGCCGATATTATACTATACCTTTTTTTTTAACGATATATACATATTTTATCTACAATCTTCTGTGATAATGTAGCTGTTAGGTTTTTTTTTAATAAATATATGGAAATAATATGTTATTATACTACCCAATTAGGCATAATATTTTATAATATGATAGAGTGAGCTTCATATTATTTTTTCCGTTTTATTTTTTTACAATTTTTTTTCAATTTTTTTGCGTGGCTCTTTATTATTATACATATAACAGTAAAGTTATGGTGCTTCGTTATAGCAATACACGGTCGTGACGTTATAAACATAACACTATTTTCATTATAGTGTGTAGGACCTATATCATGATTACATTTTTGTATTATTTTGTATTATTTTATTACTATTATTATTATTATTATTATTATTATTATTATTATGATTATTATTACGACTATTATTATTATTATGTATTTATTTTGACAATAAGACTCGGTTATCACTAAGTATATTATTATTACCTCCCCCCACACTCTTAGCGTAATACAATCAACTTTGTATTTTTTAGTTATATTAGTTTGTTAAAATTATCTCTGTTCGCTTAATTAAATAATGTACTTAAATTATATTTATTTGTATAAATTATTATTGTTTCCGATGCGATTAGAGCCTTAAGCGAGCTCAATATATTTTTTAAAATAAGGTTTAAAAAAAAAATTACAGTTAGCACAGTACATAATTCCAACAAAAATTGTATACCTACACTGCGTAGCGTCTAGACCTAGCCAACAGTAACGCTTAGGCACTATCCCGGCGCTAAATTTATTAAATAATTATATGAAAACAAAAAACAAAAAAAAAATACAAAAAAAATCACAAATAATTTTTAAAAAATAATTCATTTTAACTCGCTCCTTCCCATTTTTTCAATTAGCAATATTGAATAATATTTCATCATGTACAGAATTTTTGACTTGCATGATTTTTATCTATTTTAGTTTCATCGTAGGTACCACTACGTATTTTCTTCGAAATTCCATCCATTAAAAAAAAAGTATCTAACCGTAATACGCATAAAAGTACGTACATATTATATATACTTTTTACGAGTTATTACTTATAAGTATACATAATATATATGTATGTATACGATATTATATTAATTTCACGTTCATTTTTTAGAAGCTACGGATTTTTCTATACTGTAAATACAATTTGTTTAAATATACTTGTTAAAATATTTTATAACTTTAAGACAAGTCATTGTTGTACATTTATTTTATTTTTTTTTTTAGTTATATAAGATTATTGTATTTAACAGTAATATTATTTTAAATAACGTGTACGTAAGACTAAATAGAATTTTTTTTTTTGTAACCAAAAAAAATATGTTTAGTAAGAAGACAACAATAATATTTTTTTTCAAAAAAAAAAAGCTGTGTCAGTTATTTATTTTCCCCGGATCCGTCTTCCACGAAAAACATTTTTTGAACTATTTATGAAGTTCAAGTGAAAATTAGTTCCCGCGTTCCTAAATACCTAAACTGATATTATATAGGTACATTATCCTTACCATTATTATTCATTATCATTTATTACATTGTTGGTCATTTTAACGACCCATTACAATGATGATGTATCACACAATACTACGATATAAACCAATCAAAAATATCTTTCGCTCGTCACCTAAATCGCTTTTGTTTCTTTTTCTATTATTCTTGCCTTTTCACCGTCTCGAACAGTAAGATACCAGGACGTAGGTATTAGACTTGGTACACCACAGCATCGCGGTGGAACTGTCATCCGCCTGAGTGCATTGCTGGCCTGAAGAAACCAACGTCATGAACAATTCCACCTGCATGATGGAGTAGACAACACCAACAGTTGCCATGGTGTGGGCTGGAGAGAAGTGTCAGCCCGCGAATATATTATGAGGGCTTTAAAACCCATGAGATACCTAATGTATGTGTTCTGTGTGTCTGACCGTTGTCCACTTTAAACATGATTTTCCTTTCGCTTCTTTATTAAAAATGTATTATTATTAATGAACTCGTAATTCAAACTCTGTGACTATAATATGAGCACAGTCTGAGCCACCTCACCAGATTTTTCTTCATTATTATAAGTCACGATATACCTATAATGATTATTTTATTTATTACACGCGTAGGTTATGTGTAATATTGATGGTTACTATAAATTTTTTAGTATGCCAAAATGTTTCTACCTACTATAGCAGTACATATACGATACAATTATTATTATTGTATTCAATATACAATTGTTTTATATTTGTGGAGTTTTTACGTGAGTAATTAAATTTAAGACAGTTTTTTTTATTGTTATTGATCTCATTCCTCTTCACTTAAAAACACAAAATCCATATATTCATGACCAAATAGATATCTATTATTGGATGTGTTTTGAGACTGCTACTATATTTGGGTGCCATTTAACATTAATTGGCTTAAACCAACGTAACAGGGAGTTAAGGTTTACCAAAAAATAGTAAAATTCTATGATTTAAACTTTCACCTTCCAGTATAAATTTAATATTAAAATATGTATTAATGATGTGGAATTAATGAAATACGGATCTATCTAAAACTGTAAGATTGGTATAGTTGGGTGTTCTTCATGTTTTTTTAAATTCTTATTACCTATAGGCTATAGTCTATACAAATGTAGAACCTACTTATTATTAATTAAAATAAAATAAACGCCAAATAGTATTTTAAGTTTTTCAATTCGAAATTTAAAGTTTTCGTAAATAAAAAGAAAAAATCAATATAGGTCTTAACGAGTTTGGGCTATACCTACACAAGTAGGTGTTCTATTGTGTTCCCATATATTAATTTAAATATTTGAAAAGTGAACATTATTTAATACCATACCGGTTTTTATTAAATGGATCGATTTTTGGTTTGTATATAATAACCTTGTTTTATGTTAAATTTTATATTTTAATAAAAAAATTATTTAAAAACTAAACTTTTTATCACAATAAACCATACATAAAATACAAATTTCCATGAATAATAAATATTATAGAGTACCTGGTACCGCGGTAACCGAATTTCAGAGTTTTTATTGAAAATCTATTTGTGCTTCAATTTAAATTATTTTATTCACAACATACGAACTTGAATAAGATCATCATTAAATAGCATGTTGATATGGTAACGTTTATTATTGTCAGATAATTTTTCAATTTTAGTCAAATACTAATTTTTAATTATCTTTCAAGCGTAACGTTGTCATTATTACCTTTTTACATATTATGTATCCTTCCATAATATTGTATATTTGTATTATTGTGTAGGTACCTGATAAAAAAAATTATAACCCTAAAATCTTAATTCTCGATTTTTACGCTAATTCAGTTTTAAATTCAAATTATATTTGTATTAATAACTGCAGATCAGGCAGTATGTGCGTTAACGTAAACCAAGTATATGTTTGTGATAGTATGGCGTAATTCTTTTCTATTTATTTCCTTGCCGGCAGGTATTAAGTATTAACGTACCTAGAGTTACTTACATTTACATATATACTTATAGGTATATACTATATAGAGGTGTAAACACAAATCATTTACAATGGTGATAGTGTCAAATGAGTGTATGTAAAATTATAATATGTTATGCAACTGCAAAGTATCGCAGTAGGTTAATTAATTATTTCTTTTTTTTGTATGTTAACAAAAAATCAATCTCTTCCATCATAGTCGGTCGTGACATCTATATACAATACAAGGCGGAAAAAATCGAGTTTATAATAATATAATGAAATATTATTATTATTTACCACAGCCGACGCGCGACGACGAAGTGCATTATTATAATACACATAATAGGTACAGCTGCTGTCGACTGTGAGTAGTGATGATCAAAAACACTTAACGATTAACCAACAGTTTAAGCTTTTAAACATTAAATATTATATATAACTTATAAATAAAACGTATTAAATGAAATAATTTACATCACAATTAATATATAATATTGTAATATGTTAACATATGCTTATTATGTCAATCTATTGATTATTTATTTTATAAATTTTAATTCTAAAAAAAAACTCTATGAAATTAATTCAAAATTGATAAACTTCAACAAACATATTATTATAATCCATTGAATTTTTCAATACTAAAAGATTAAACATAATATATTGATATTAAGGATAATTCAGTATTCAGTAACATACTCAGTAATAAAAAATGCAATCGTTATCCACGATTAATTTTATTTTGTTTAAATTTGTATAAATTACATAAAATATATATATATTTCAAATTGTTACTATATAGTATATATATTATATTGATTCGTATAGGAAAAAAGCAATTAATATAAATATTTTATTTAAGTGTGAAAACTTTAAATCATAAATAAAATCCTTACCTATGATTATAGATAATAATAAAATTGTGATAATTATTTTCGGCAATACGTCGACAGTCGTGGTAACTGAAAATTCTCGATAATCCCATAGTATTTTTATTTTTCTATCAAAAATTACCAAGATTGTCGTCAACAGTGTCATATCACATTAAAAATATATTGCCTGCACGGAAAGCAAATAATAATAATCAACGATCAAGATACCGTGGTTACACTTGACATATTATTATTGTAGGTTATAAGCATGAGCTTGTAATGGTGATGTCGAGTTGAAGTACGGCTGTAATATCAGACGACAACGAGTACTTTATTATACTGTCGGCGTGTGCAGTCGTGCAGGTAGCCACCTCGGAAACAATCGTTTCATGCCTGCTGCATGTGCAATAATGATAGGCTGCAGGTACCTAATAATAATTTATAATAATAACGTGGTAATCGATTTATCGTCTTCCGCCAGTCGAGAAAGTTTTTGCATTCTCCCGTCGTCGTTTATTCGGAAATTTTCGTTTTCTCCACCCTCAACGCCCCCCCAACGATTTTAACACGGTCTCCGAAGGTACCTGCGGGAGGTTATGCAGAGTAGCCTTTGATGTTGAACACTGCTCGTACGACGTCACGTACGCACGAGTCTACACACAAGTCTACTCTGCACAGTGTGTGTGTGCGCGCGCGCGCGCGCGCGTGTGTGTGTGTGTGTGTGTGTGTGTGTGTGTGTGTGTTTACATTATTGTTACACGTGCGGTGTGGCATGCATACAATATATTATTATAATATTATGTACCTACCTATACATGTATATATTGATCATGAACGTGGGTCCACGCTATCGCGGATACGCCACCGGTGAACGTATATATACGTATAATTTATTATTTTAAACGTCCGATGTCTCGGCGAAGTGGAAACGCGGTTAGAATCTGTTGGACCGTCTCCCATAAATATATATACGGTTCGTGTTTGGGGTGCCTCGGGGTGACCGAAGCGACCGAAGGAGAATTTCTCCGGCCCGGCAATATAATACATATTTAATAATATATTATTTTAATCCTCATTGTTTTGCCGATCGCTCGGCATTGTTGTGTTATCGAATATTATAATAATTATGGATTAAAATTAATTTTACTGCCGTTCGAGTATTATTCAATAGAGTATAAATATTATATATTAGGTGGGTAAGTGCTTACCAATCTAAATCGCCAATGAACCAAGTAAATAGTAATACAATAATTCGGCTAAATTATAAAATATATTATACGTATAGGTCAATAAAAACACTCAAAAGTACCTACACAATATTATTATGTCAATACAGATCTGAGTCGATCAATAGTTGTCATTTCTCAATTATTTAAGCTTTACATTATCCCAGTTGTAGTTTTAGTTGTAATGGTTCTTGTAGTTTCAGTTGTTGTTGTTGTTGTTATCATTGTTGTTGTCGTTATCAAAGTCGCAG